TTGAATACTCTTGTTGTCAATAAATCCCCCAAGTAGTTAATATGATTGACTTAATTATATTTTTTAATTTTTTATTTTTTAAAACAATTATTATTATTATTATTATTATTATTATTATTATTATTATTATTATTATTATTATTATTATTATTATTATTATTATAATATGTATACCCTTAGCTCATTTTACATGTTAATCTAAACAACTAATTTTTTCAAATATATTTTTACCAACCATTGATATAATTCGCTAGTCAAATTCGCTAATATAATCCGCTAACGCTAACCGCTAACTGTTGATTGTCAAACAAGGACATTGCGAGTTAGTTCTCACTTCAATTTGTTGTGTGATTTGAATACTCTCTTTGTCAACAAATCCCTCAAAGTAGTTAATATGATTGACTTTATTAATTATATTTTTTAAATTTTTTCATGGTATTAATAAAATACTTGGTAAATAAATATATAACATTATTTTGTATTATAACTTTGATCTTTAATTAAAAAATAGTGCACAACAAAGATAATAGACAATGTAGTGAATATAATCAATTGATGAATTTGAATGTAAAGAATCTTTACATTGGAGAAATATAAAGACAATATAACTAATAAAATTATTTCTCTTAATTAATTTATTGATAATGAATAATTTTTTTAAATAAAGCATTGTAGGGACAATGTAGCAAATATAATCAATTGATGAATTTGAATGTAAAGATTTTTTATATTGGAGAAAAATAAATACAATATAACTAATGAAATTATTTCTGTTATTTAATTTATAGATAATGAATAATTTTTTTTGAATAAAGACATTGTAGACACATAATTCTAAATTAAAGAATGCATATTTATTATTTTTTTTGTTGTAGCTACTAAATTATTATGGAGTATTTTTTTTTTTTGAAAGTTATTATGGAGTATTTAATTTAATAAGAGTAAAATAGAGTACTAATTATGTCAACTTTGATTGGGATGAAGTTCGAACCTAAGACCTTTCTTATTGAAATCAATGAGTAAGTTAACGGTGAACTAACAGAAATTAACAAAAAGATAATATTTAATGGAAAAGTTAACGGAAAATCATATTCATTAAGGATAAATTAGGAAATCTTAAGGAAAAATTAAAATCTGATCAATCTGAGCCATTCATTTGATTAAAAAATTTAACCGCCATTTTTTCTACCCATTATAGGCCTAACTCTCTTGGGCTCTTATTAGTATAGTAGATATATATATATGTGTGTCTGTGTGTGTGCGCGCGTGCGCGCGTGTGTATATGTGTGTGTGTGTGCGCGCGTGCGCGTGTGTGTGTGTGTGTGTGTGTGTGTGTGTGTGTGTGTGTGTGCGTGTGTGTATTTAGGGATGGATGTAATTTGGATAATCCGAAATACCCCCAAAATTTGAACTGAAATTTAAATTTTAGGTGAACCCAAATAGTTATCGGTTCGGATATTTTAAAATTTGGTATAACTAAATATTGTCAATAATGTTATATTATTTGGCTTTATAATATGTTATTAATTGTGTGGTCCTAGATAGGTGGTTTAGTAGAACCTAATAGTTAGGAGAGGTTTAAGTCTTCTAAACCTCTTTTATTATTGTAATTGTTATTTGTTGAATTGAAGGCTGAATCACTATTCTAATCTGGTATCAGTTAGCCTTACGTTCGATCCTCCTTCTTTCTCTCCCTCACCCCAAAAATGTCGACGAACTCGTCGGAAAGAACAATCACCACCTCCGTCCCAAGTCCGGCCACCACGGCAAACCCTCTCTCCTCGGCACATCATTTTGTGTCGATTAAGCTCATGTCCCGAAATTTTTTATTCTGGCGTACGCAATTGGTTCCATTCTTATGGGGCCAAGAACTACTCGGGTTTGTCACCAGCGAAACCCCCTGCCCGTCGCCAACCATCGCAAGCCCACCGGCAAAATCGTCCGCTTCCGGTGCAGCCACCTCCGCTAGTGTGCCGAATCCTGAGTTCCATACGTGGGTAAGGCAAGATGCGTCCATTCTATCGCTCTTGGTTTCCTCCATGGCCGACGAGGTGCTTCACCTTGCCGTCGGACGCAACACGTCAAAAGAAGTTTGGGATTCAATCACTGCTGCACTAGGATCCAGCTCGAGAGCACGTTGCCTAAATCTACTTGGGCAGTTTCAATCATTAAGGCAAGGCAATCTTTCCCCGGCAGACTACATCGGCCAAGCCCAGCTAATTGTAGAAGCTCTCTCGCTCGCCGGTCGTCCTCTTTCGTTGGACGAGCAAAATCTCTGGGTATTCCGAGGTTTACAGCCAGAGTTCAGAAGCATGGCGGCCTCCCTAACGGTTTCCGGCAATCCGGTTACGCTACCTCAGCTCGCTGATTTTCTGCAAGCGCAGGAATTTATCGCGGCGAATGACCTTGCACCTGGTCTCAGTGGTGGCGGATCTCCTGCAGCACTGTACGTTGCGCAGGGCAGCAACCAGTCAGGGGGTGGCGCTGGAGGGCGTCGCGGAAACTCCGGTGGTGGGCGCGGCAATCGTGGCAATCGTGGCCAGTGGCGCGGTGGACGTGGAGGCCGTGGCGGTGGCGGACAGGTGAGATGTCAGATATGCAGGGCTCATGGGCACTCTGCTCTTAATTGTAACAAGCGTTACAATCCGCAACCAGCGCCCCAGGCGAATTTGACGGTGGCCGGTGATGACGTGCAGTCCTCCACTAGATCGTGGTTCCCGGACACCGGGGCTTCTGCACATGCCACACCAGATGCATCAATGCTCTCACAATCGGCGGAGTACAATGGCGGGGATGTGCTACGAGTCGGTAATGGCACAGGTTTACTTATTTCACGTGTTGGGTCCGCGTCCATTTCCTCTATGTCTAAACCATTAAAAATGTCAAATGTGTTACATGTGCCAAATTTGTCCGTTCCGTTATTGTCCGTTCAAAGATTTACTAACGAAAATGATGTTTTCTTTGAATTTCATAAACACTGTTTCATTGTGAAGGATTCGACCACACAGGCAATCCTACTTAAAGGACCCACCTCGGGCGGACTATACAGGCTCCCGCTGTCACAGTCCCACTTCGCGTTTCTTAGTTCCCGTACCACTCCAGTGATGTGGCATCGTCGGTTGGGCCATCCTCACAGTCAAGTTCTTAATAAAGTGTTGCAAGCTTGTCCAGTTGTTCGCAATAAAACCGGGTCGTTGGGGTCGTGCACTGCTTGTCACATGGGGAAGGCATCACGGTTTCCTTTAGATAGAATAGAACATTCTAGCCAAAATGTACTCGATTTAGTGTATACGGACATATGGGGTCCATCTCCAGTAGTTTCGAATAGTGGCTTTAAATATTTCGTTCTATTTGTAGATGACTGTACTCGGTTTTGCTGGTTTTATCCCTTACGGGTAAAATAAGATATTTATAAAGTATTTGAGTCGTATCGAGTCATGGTAAAACGCCAATTCACGCGTTCTATCAAATCCATTCAGTCCGACTTGGGCAGGGAGTATCAAAAACTACACAAAACGTTCGAATCTCTTGGCATTAACCACAGGCAATCATGCACATACACGCATGAGCAAAATGGTAAAGTAGAGCGTCGGAATAGACACGTTGTCGAAACCGGTCTGGCTCTACTTGCCGAGGGGTCTGTACCCATGGAATATTGGGACTATGCCTTCGAGACAACCGCGTGTCTTATAAATTATCTCCCCTCATCTGCCTTAAATTTTGAGAGTCCATATTACCGTTTACACAAAGTGTCTCCACCATACACGTTTCTAAGAGTCTTCGGGTGTCGGTGTTACCCGTATCTTCGTCCTTATAACAGGCACACGATTGAGTATCGCTCGACACCATGTGTCTTCCTGGGTTACCCTCCTTCCTATAGGGGTTATAGATGTCTGGACTTAACAAGTGGAAAAGTATATATCTGTCGTCATGTTCGATTTGACGAGTCTAACTTTCCTTTTACAGACTCAACACTGACAGATAAAGTGGATCCTAATGCACCATCCGTACCGTGGGCGGCCAGGCCCATAGTAACACAACCGTCACCAGCGCTACCCACAGCTGTGGCACCACCCTCACTGGAACCCTTGGACATAGCTCCATTAGCCATTGAAGGTCCCTCCAGGACAGCACCGGCTAAAACACGTAAACCTCGGCGCCAACAGGCCCAAGGTTATGAGCATGTGATGAGACTGCGTCACATGACTCGGGGCACAAATGAAGAATTTCATGCATTGACTACAACGACAGATCCAACATGTTATTCACAAGCTGTTGGTCATCCCCAATGGCGGGATGCTATGGACCAAGAATTTAATGCCTTATTACATAATGGCACTTGGCAGCTAGTACCTCCTAAAGCTGACATGAATATCATAGGGTGTAAGTGGGTGTTCCGCACCAAACGCACGGCAGACGGCTCAGTGGAGCGCTATAAAGCTCGCCTGGTGGCCAAGGGCTTCAACCAGGTGGCCGGCGAAGACTTTTTCGATACCTTCAGTCCTGTAGTGAAGCCAACCACGGTGCGACTGTTGTTATCTCTAGCAGTGTCCAATGGTTGGACTCTTCGGCAATTAGATGTGCACAATGCTTTTCTCAATGGCCATTTAGCCGAGACTGTGTACATGAAGCAACCACAAGGGTACGAGGATTCCTCACACCCCGACTACGTGTGTCATCTACAGCGCTCACTTTATGGTCTCAAACAAGCACCTCAGGCTTGGTTCAAGAGACTGCATGACTTCTTAATCTCTGCAGGTTTTCACCCATCAAAAACAGACGTGTCTCTTTTTCACTATGCAGCCGGAGAGTCTTGGGTCTTTTTACTTGTCTACGTTGACGATATCATCGTGATGGGGAATGATACGCCTCTACTTGATGTCATGCTTCGCCGTCTTTCCGCTGCCTTTAAAATTAGGGATCTCGGGGCTCCGGGATTCTTTCTTGGCATTGAAACTCTGTCTCTTGATGGTGGTTATCTTCTATCTTAGAAGCGTTACATGGTCGATATCTTGAATCGAGCTGGTATGTCAGATTGTAAGCCACTTACTACACCAGCTGCGGTTTCTCACGCCGTCAGTCCCACGAGTCAGCCGTATGATAACCCCACTCAGTACCGGCGTATTGTTGGTGCGCTACAGTATCTCACTATCACTCGTCCGGACTTAGCATATGCTGTCAACCGGCTCTGTCAGTTTATGCATGCACCTACAGACAGTCACTAGGCCCTAGTGAAGCGTGTTTTGCGGTATGTAAAGGGGACTCTTCACTATGGGTTACGGCTCTCCCCGTCTTCCTCCTCGGCCATTCATGCTTTTTCGGACTCCGATTGGGCAGGGTGTCCACTTGACAGGAAAAGCACCAGTGGATATGCAGTGTTTCTAGGTGGCAATCTTATCTCTTGGCTCTCTCGGAAGCAGCGCACGGTAGCCCGCTCGTCAACTGAGGCTGAGTACAAGGCCTTAGCCGATGTCTCGGCAGAGGTCACCTGGGTTGTCTCTCTTCTACGGGAACTTGGGTTGCATTCTGGCCAGCCGCCGACTCTGTGGTGTGATAATCTCGGCGCTACCTATCTCTGTGCCAATCCGGTTTTTCACGCCAGGACCAAGCATGTCGAAATTGACTTTCATTTTGTACGCGATAAAGTAGCGTCTGGGGAATTTGTCGTCAATTTTGTGTCCACTAAAGACCAGCTCGCAGATATCTTCACCAAACCACTACCTGGACCACGGTTTTCAGCTCTGCGCACCAAGCTTAATGTAGTTGCTCACCCACCTTAAGCTTGAGGGGGTGTGTCAATAATGTTATATTATTTGGCTTTATAATATGTTATTAATTGTGTGGTCCTAGATAGGTGGTTTAGTAGAACCTAATAGTTAGGAGAGGTTTACGTCTTCTAAACCTCTTTTATTATTGTAATTGTTATCTGTTGAATTGAAGGCTGAATCACTATTCTAATCAATATAAGTTTGGTTTGAATATAGTTGTTAAATTTTATTCATATCCGAAACGAAATTCGAACTAACCGAAATTTTATTATAAATATAATAATATAAATTATATATTTAATTTTAAATGTATTTCATAATTAATAATAATATATACTATATATAAAAACAAAATCCTCCACTTTAGCTTCCCGCCTAAAACACTCCTATACTATTATGGTTTGCATAATATTGTAAAATATGGTAATACAATTCTTATTCGTTCTACAATTGTACATTAAAATATGGTAATACAATTCATAATATAATATATTTTTTTCTACTTTCCTATTCGTAATACAATTCTAAATGAAAATTACTAATCGCAATCTTCAATAATAATAATAATAATAATAATAATAATAATAATAATAATAATAATAATAATAATAATAATAATAATAATAATAATAATAATCTATACTATAATTAAAAACAAAATCATATTTACTTAAATTCCCGCCCAAACAATATTAAATAATAAAAGTAAATTTAAAAATGAACGTAAACTAAAAAAAGGAATATATAAATATGTCACAATAATATTCTACATCATCAATTAAAAATGGAACGAGAATTATGTAAATTAGAAAATGAAATGAATATTAATAATTGACTGAAAATTAAAAATGGAAAAAGGAATGAAAATTAGGTTAATTGAAAAAAGAAATGAATATTAATAATTGACTGAAAATAAAAAAATATCCATAATTGACTAGAATGAAAAAAGAAATGGTCAAATTATTGCATTTTAATTTTTCACAATAATATTACACAGTAGAATAAATCAAATCACAATTACAAACAATGAGATGTAAATTAAAAATGGAACGGAAATATTTCAATAATAATAATATTCTACATCATCAAGTAAAGGAAAATTAAAAATGGAAAGGAAATATTTCAATAATAATATTCTGCATCATCAATAGTAAAAATATATTTTAAAAAATAATAAAGATAAATTTAAAATAGAAAGAAAATTAAAAATGAAACAAAAATATTTGAACAATAATATTCTCTACATTGCTCAGCCTCTTACTACAGCAGCCATTGCTCAGGCTAGCTCTTTGTATTGGGACTCTATCCCTCCTAACTCTATTGTTTTGCTTCTTCATTAATATATCGCAGCATATTACCCTCAGAAAATATTCTACATCATCAAATAAAAATATAACGGAAATTAGGTAAAAATATCACTACATCTATATTCTAATTGACTGAAAATAAAAAACTAAAAAAAAATAATTGGCTGAAAAGGAATCTAATATTACTAATTGACAGAAAATATAAAAGGAAATGGATATTAATGATCAATAATTGACTAAAATAAAAAAATAAATGGTCAGATCATTGCATTATAATTAAAAATGCAACAGAAATTAAAAATTAGACGAAAATATTTCAATAATAATATTCTACATCATCAATAGTAAATGCATATTTTAAACAATAGTAAAGGTAAATTAAAAATGGAACGGAAATATTTCAATAATAATATCTACATGATCAATTAAAATTGGAACAAAAATTAGGTAAAAATATCAATGCATTTGATATTCTAATTTGACTGAAAATAAAAAAAGAATAATTTGGCTGGAAATGACTCTGATATTACTAATTGACTGAAAATATAAAAGGATCACTAATTGAGTGATATTCTACCATTATGACCCTGTTTGGTAAAAAATTGGCCTATAGGCCAATTTTGGCTTATTTGACCACTATTAATTGTTTGATTTAGTTAAAATATCAATATAAGTTTGGTTCATTAGTTTTTTGCAACTCCAAAATGCTAAAATTCAAAAAGCTACTCCAAACAAGTTTTTCAATTAGCTTTTTTAGAAAAGAAATTATACCAAACAGCTAGCAGCTAACAACTAATTTACCAAACACGTTTCTTCAACAGCTAATGTTATCAACTAATCATACCCTCTAATTAACACAATCAGCTAACATCTAACAACTATCAGCTAACAGTCATTTACCAAACAGGGCCTATATATTTCCACCCGAGTAACCCGTCCTGATGGACTGAAGGTGTTAGCTCTAGACGAGGATAGACAAGATTGTGTTGGCACTACCAGTTTCGTCTACAAAGAGGTTTCAATATATAATGCGTAAATACAATCGTTGATATTATGTTTTTTTAAATGACAAATTTCTATATATCTAGACAAAAAATATATATCTTCCATATATACAAATGAATTAAGATAGCAATTCATTCCTATAACTAAGTTGTTAGAGAATGAGCACATTTGCTTGATTTTATACATCTACACATTAGCTATTAATTTGAGCAATTATTTGTTCAAATTCAAGCAATGATAACATCAAAAAAGGTAAACGATTCAAATCAGATTTTCAGTTGCACTATATAATATTTGATGTTTTAATTTAAATAATTATATATCGATTCAAATATTCTTAATATATTACAACAAATCCATTCCGTGCATCGCACGTGGCAAAAATACTAGTAATATATTAATTCTCAAAAGTCTCTCAAAAGATACCTACCCCAAATGTTGTGTCAAATGAATACCCCAGATAGAGACAGAGAGAAGATGGATAATTGTTGAATTTTGTTATTGTCTGAATGTTGAAAACTTGGGATTTTGTACTGAAATATTCATTTATGAACAGTCGCAAACCAATACATAAAATTCCAGTGCAATGCCAACTATTTTCGCAAAAGATCCACAAGAAAACCAGGCTCTCGAAGAGGGGGTGATCAATAGGCAACAACATAATGATACACTTAGCTTGCTATTACGATATACCGCATGCAAGCTTGTTTTTCCTTTTGGAGATCCAGAGGTTAAATTAGCAGCCGGGATGAGCCTCCCTTGTACTGAAGTTGACGTAGAAAAGGCAACTGTGCCTCAATCAGTGACTAGTTTGCATTATCAACCTGAATCGTCCTCTTCAAGTACTCAAGTAGTGGAAGAAAGCTCTGGTGAAGAGAAGGAGAAATATGTTACTCCCAAGTATTTCATTAGGTTCAACACACCAGAGAAGCAATGGTAAGTTTTAATTTCTTTGTTATGTACTAAATATTTTATAAGATGCTTTAAGTATCTATCTTTATGTTCACGGGAGCTACTCTCCTCCATTTGCATCTATAGCCTCATTCCAGTTAGTATTGAATTTAAAGTTTTAGTTGAAACGAAATACATCCTTCCATTAGAAGGAAATAATGAAGCAATTCTTCTTTCCTCTAGATCTTTAATACTTAATCACTAGCAGCTTCCCAGATTGAAAAATTTTGAAAACGGTATTTAATTGACATACCAATCTGCAAAAGCACATTAGTAGTCAGGAATAATTGCAAGAAGTAGAGAAAAGAAACAGAGATGTATAGTATGATCATCACATATATGCACCAGATGAAATAGGCAGAGACAGAACAAATAACCAAGAAACTCCGCTCACATCTCCGATAGCTTGAGCACTACCAGCTTCCCAGTTTGAAATTTTTCTACAAGCTAAGATAGGTGCAGATTTAAAGTGGTTCTTGATCTTAATTGTCAAGTAATCAATCAGCTTAGAAACATCACTACTTCAAGTTCATAAGCATTTCCCATCTTCTACTAAGACAAGAACAAAGAACAAAGCCCACATGGCTAGCTTTGGGATACGCATTCTCATCAGATGGAAACCAACCAGTGAGTGCCTGCAAGCAAGAAGACTTTGGAAGAACCATTTACTCTACTTTCACTTCACTATGTCTATATCTATAACTTTGCAAGAATGATATTAAGGTATCACACAAAACTCCTTGCTTTCTCAAAACTGATATCTTTGATTTCTAAAAGAACACTAGCATATATATGAACCTCTAGGCAACTTTTAATTTTCTTTTTGATTTTGTTCTATCAAAAATTCAGATATATGATTTTTATTGTGTATCATATTTTGAACAGGTGTAGCGCACAAGCTCTTCCCAACCATGTTCTACAAGTGCACATTCATCTGCACAAAAAAGGAAAATGTAGTACCCACCGCTACAAATGCCTTCAACTGCACTCCAAGTTGCTATAAACCTTTTAAAATTCTCCTCACTGCCCTGTTTACACGTTAAAGAGTGCAAAACACATCATCGTCATCATAAAAATAGAGTTCTTAGTCATCAAAGAGGTGTGAGTTTTGAGAGCTTCTCCATTATTTATTTCATACTTTGAGTTGATGCCGTGTTGGCAAATTGAAAGTTTCATTCATTTGAGTAATACAATACAAGTAGTAGTTAATGTGGTTCAATAGTTATTAAGTGAACATACAAAGCAACATCAGTCTAATATAATTCTTGTTGGGGAAAAAGGCCTGTTTCTTCTGAAGGGTCTGCAACCACTTTGAAGAATACTAGTTTTGCAAGTTCTACAAGCTATTTCTAGAATGTGATGCATCTATAGTCTAGAGAATTCAACTGCTTAAAACAAAATGGTTAAAAACTCACCTGAAGAATGACTACAGGATCTAAAGCCCTTTGCTTGAAACAAGGATCACAGTTAAACAAAATGAGATCAGAAAAAGAAATAGAAACAAGTTTGTAAAGGATATATGGAATAGAAAAGAAATAATTGAGAATGGATCATATGTTGTAGCTTCTTCATGGCAGTACAGCCTGTGACACATGAAGACAGTGGTATGCATTAAATACTTGAAGCAAAACCTATTTCAATTAGTAGCATATAGTAAATCATTCACTCTGCTTTATCTTCATTATTTCTATATCTATAACTTTGCAGATATGATATTAAAGTATCACAAAAAACTCACTTTTTTCAAAAGCGATATCTTTGATTTCTAAAAGAACACTAACAATATATATGTCCTCTACTCAAATTTTATTTTACTTTTTGATGTTGTTCTATGAAAAGTCAGGCAATTGATTTTATTGAATATCATATTGCTAGTCGCTAGACAAGCTATTCCCTTGTGCCTCAAATGCAAATTCATCTTAACAAGAAAGAACAATGCATTACCTTAGCCTCCATGTACTCCAAGTTGAAGAACATCAGTCCACTATAATTTCTCTATTATAGAACTTTGCATTCTCTGATCTGTTGGGGAAAGGCATAACTGTTCTGCAACTTCTTTAAAGAATATGATTTTTCTGCAAGCATTTGGCATCTTAAAATAAAATGGTAAAAACAATTACCTGAAGACTGAATACAAGATTTGAAAACCTTCTCTTTGACACCAGGATCACTGTAAAATCTTCGATTTGATGCCTTATAGAATGCATGAAATGAATGTAATCAATCTCATGAAGAAGTTTTAAGAATTATACTTAGCCTTGCAAATCAATATCAATTTTATACTTAGCCTTGCAAATCAATATCAATTAGAAGTTTTAAGCCCACTCAAATGACTCAATCTCAACTTCTCCAATAGGAAATGAAACATAGACACAGACCAATTTTAAGGGTTACAGTGCAGCAAATAGAAATTAAAATCATTAGCTTCTCAAGCCCTTCCAAATAGTCAAGACAATTGTGATCAATGATAGCACTTGGAAGTTTCTGCTATTTAACAAGGGGAGAAGAGCACCAAACAAGAAATCTATGTTAGAAATTGAAGATCAGTGGATGAAATCATGAGGAACAAATTCATTTGTAACCTTCAATTATCTGAATAAGGTAGCAATACCATTTCATTTCATTTCCTTTGGCATGCAGATGTAAATGCAGTAATATGGTGATATGTAGGTAATTTTAATAATATAAGGCACTCAAACTATTATAACTTAATTAAATATACCTTGAACTCCTCAAGCATGAGATTTACTTTAAAAATATTCCATTATGCTTCAGTCATGAAATCATAAAACTCAGATAGAGATTCATATTTTGAGTGCTTCTTGTTAATGTACTCATGCACTATTCTGGTTTTAAAATCCTTCCACCGCTGCCCAACAACCTTTAATACTGTTTCTCTCAGTTGATCGATCATCTTCAATGTTGAACACTTTCTAGCTGCACACAAGAAAAAAACTCACACAATCAATAGTCAATACCTATTTTTAACTAATAAGGTAAAAATCAATATGTAAAAGTATTGTATACCTTAACATAATCCCAAATTGTATCCTTCAATCCTTTGTCAACTTCATGTCAATCACTGATATTAATATCCAAATGCAACCGAACCAAAGTGCCAATGCAAGACTTGAAGTTCTTCATAAACTGACCGACTGGTCTATGATACTCATCAAACTCAACACTGATTACTTCATATACCTTCTTCTTTTTCAATCTCTTGCAGGTTATGGGACTTCTCGTCTTAGTGATGTAGGATAAGGGAGACAAGAAAAACACAAACAATATAATTCAAACTCAAAGGCTTTAAGTAATATTAAAAACTTGAACTTCTGAATACAAAAACTTGTTTAAATAAAAAACTAAGAAAATAGAAGAGTTGCAAATATTAAAAGCATGCATGGGAAAGGTAAAATAAACATAAAGAGAATTACAAATATTAAAAATATTTAAAGCTAATCCAAATTTTCAATAAAAGTAGCCACCAAACTCCATATCTCTTAGACTTCATGAATGTGACCATCATTGCCTCAATTCATGTACTGCATCACTTAGGCTATGATTTAGACTCTGAGTAGGTTCTGAAGTAGATTGCAAATGATAAACCATGATATTGTATCTGCACATGCAATATATATATGTCAACATAAAATTTTGAAAAAATAATAATCGTTTAACAAGCAAATAAACTTACAATTTTTTAACAAAAAGATTATGTGTGATTATCAATCCACAAGCCCTCCCCATGATCACAACGCGTGTAACTTGTTTCAATGTTATCTTCCCCTAAAGCTTGAATGCCAATAGAAAATGGAAGTGTTTCATCAAAGTGATCATATTCTTCTTCATCCACAACATCTCCAACGTCAACAATACTTCTTTTTCCTTGTAATACAATTGACCACTTGCTATTAACAGGATCAGAAACATAAAAAACTTGTTTTGCTTGAGATGCAAGTATAAATGGCTCATCCTGATAACCCAGCTGACCAAAATCTACTAAAGTCAAACCCAATTCATCTATTCGAACACCTTGTTTGTTATCAACCCAACTACACCGGAATAGAGGAATCCTAAACATTATAAAATCAAATTCCCAAATTTCTTCAATAACACCATAATATGGCATAGCAACATCTACTGGCTTGGTATCTCTGGCACTAGAGTGATCTCTGGATAGTGCTTCTATTGTAACTCCACTGTTTTGCACAGAACTCTTATCATCTTTACGTTTTGTGTAAAACGTATACCCATTAATTTCATATCCTTCATAACAACTCATAAACCAACGAGGGCCATAAGCTAGTCACTTAATGGTTTCACTGATGTTATTTGGAACTTTAGATAACTCTTGCATCACTCTATCTTTGAACCATCTTATAAATGTGCGGTTGTGTTCATTGGTCACCCACCTTTCACTCTTTGAAGTATTTTCATGCCTTAACATGGACAGGTGTTCATCCAAGTATGGATGAACCTCAGGTTCATGTTGCAATACAAGGCGGTGAGCTTTATCACGCATTTCAGCTTTTTGTGAAACTACTTTATACCTTTCCCTGTAAGTTTACCCTCGAGATTTAGGAACACCAATGGATTCAACATTTGCCAAATAATCCGTACAAAACTCAACCACCTCCTCAGCAACATAACCTTCAATGATACTACCTTCTGGTTGAAACCGATTTTTCACATATCCTTTCAGTATCCCCATGAATTTCTCAAACGGATACATACATCTTAAAAACACTGGACCACACATCTTAATTTCTCTCACCAAATGAACAATTAAGTGCACCATAATGTCAAAGAATGAGGGAGGGAAATACATTTCAAATTGACACAAAGTCACTACCACTTCTGCCTGCAAATCATCCAATACCTCAATATCAACAACTTTACTACAAATAACATTGAAAAAGAAACAAAGCTTTATAGTGGCATGCCTAACATATTTTGGTAAAACATCTCGAATAGCCACGGGTAACATGTGCTGCATTAAAATATGGCAATCATGAGGCTTCATACGAACCAACTTCAAATCCTTCATTGAAACAAGTTTTTTAATATTGGATGAGTAACCTTTAGGAACCTTCACATCATTCAAGCATCCACAAAAGCTTGTTTTCTCTTTTTCAGACATAGTATAACAAGCTGGAGGTAAGTATGTCCGCTTTCCTGATTTTTGCGATGCTAACTTATCTCGTATTCCCATTTCTACCATACCTTTTCTAGCTTTAATGTCATCTTTAGTCTTACCCTGGATATTCAATAATGTCCCAACAATACTGTCACAAACATTTTTCTCCACATCCATCAAATCAAGACAATGTCGTACAAATAAATACTCCCAATATGGTAGATCTCAAAATATTGACTTTTTTTTTCCAAAGATTATTTTCAGCAGGTTTAGATGTTTTGCCCAAATCAACATTAAGATGTTTAACTCTTTCATAAACCACACGCCCTGATAATGGAAAGCGGGCAACTCGTGTCTCAGCTTTTCCATTAAAACACTTTATCATCTTTCGATAAGGATGACCAATAGGGAGAAAGATCCGATGATTCATCAAGACATTTTTTTTACTGTTGCTCAACCAAAGATCACTTGTTTCATCTTCACAAATAGGGCATGCCTTCGCTCCTTTAGTATTATAGCCTGACAAGTTATCATATGTTGAAAAATCATTTATTGTGCAAAATACCATGGCTTGCAAAGTGAAGTTTGTTTGACTATATGCATCAAACACCGTCACACCTTCGTTCCACAACATTTTTAAATCTTCCACAAGTGGTGCTAAGTACACATCTATGTCATCTGGTTGTTTAGGCCCTGAAATAAGCAATGACAGCATGATGTACTTGCGCTTCAAACACAACCAAGGAGGAAGATTGTAAGCAACCAAAAGAACCGGCCAAGTGTTATGTCGACTATTAATGTTACCATGGGGGTTCATTCCACCGATGCATAACCCAAGCCTAAGATTCCTGTTTTCATTACCAAATTCAGGAAATGCTCTATCAATGTCCCTCCATTGAGAAGAATCGGCTGGGTGTCTTAATTTTCCATCATTTTTTCTCCCTTTAGCATGCCATTGCAAATATTTCGCATCAATTGGATTTGCAAACAAACGTTTGATCCTCGGAATTATTGGTAAATACCATAACACCTTCACCGGAGGGCCTTTCTTACCCCCACACCCATCATCAACACTCTTTCTTTTGTAACGTGACGCCCCACACTTTGGACACACATGTAAATCACTGTACTCTTTCCAATAGAGTACACAATCATTTAGACATGCATGTATTTTCTTAATCTCCATACCCAACAGACACAACATTTTCTTTGCCTCATAAGTTGAAATAGGAAGCTCATTATCATCAGGAAGCATGTCTTTTAAAAGTTCTAATAACTGCGTAAAGCTCTTATCACTGCACCCATTCTCTGCTTTTAATTTATATAATTTTAACACAGCAGATAACTTTGTAAATCTACTACACCCAGAGAACAAAGGTTTTTCTGAATCAACAAACAAACTTTCAAATACATGAGGCAATTCACTAAAATTTCCTTGAATATCACGCATGATTTCATCTATTCGATCATTCTCTCCATTTTTCTCCCTGTCTACATTCTTTTCATTATCATCATTCTCTTCATCATTGCATATGGTGTTTGTACTAGGAAGTACACTTTCACCATGCCATATCCACCGGTTATAACCTTTCTTAAACCCACGGCATATTAAATGGCTCTTCACTTGCTCAAAACTACAAAATTTCCTCAGATTCTTACAATCACAACAGGGGCACACTAGAAATTCTTCAGCATTTTTACTTTTATTTTCTTCAGCATATTTTAGAAAATTTTCAACCCCTTGCATATATTCAAACGTATTACGTTTCCCATACATCCAGCTACGATCCGTATCTCCCATTGCAGCACAATCAATCTGTAAAGTTATGAAACTTTAATTGAAGTATATATCATATGAGATATGGACAAATAAAGATGGATGCATTTAGAAACAACAACATTATTATAAATTTATGGGAAATCAATTAGACTTATTATAAGCAATTTTATGATATTGGTAATAATATTCTTGCTTTGACACTGTATCATATCAAACACTGTATTTTTCAGATTGTTTTGACAATAACTATATATACTGCAATCTACAGATGGTGACTTCAGATAATTATACTCTTAATTATGACTTGATGATAAACTTTTCTGGGTTTAAAAAGTTTACTTACTGACTCATTATTCACTGCAAGAATAAATTGAGGGGCAAGGAACACAGAGAAGCAGATCAGAAAAAATGAAAAACTAATATTATTTAAACAGTGCTTGAACATTCACTCACACTAAAAATATGTATAAAAAATTTAAATAAAAGAAGAAGAAGAGAAAAGAAAATATATATACCTGGTGGCAGTTCAGCAGGTGTATCAGACTATCAGTACGTCATCGTTGCCGGCGGCCAAAACAACACACCAGAAGTAGGTGCTAGTGCTGCCATGCACAAACCAAGAAATTATTAGTCACAACCAAGAAATTATTAGCCAACACCAGCACCAGAAGTTTCAGTGCGTGATGCTGTGAGTGTGAGACAGAAACTAACCTCACCCTGCAGCACCAGAAGATCGAGATAACGCACCAGAAGTTTCTAAGCTCACGCTGAAGAGATAACGTTGTGGCAACACCTACCCTCACGCCACCGTCGTCAATTGCTGGGAGTCATAACAGTCGGAGCTGCGCGTCAATCACTAAGGCTTCTTTTTTGGGAGATAGCAGAGAAGAGTACTTTTTTTTTTTTTGGGAGGAGTGGTCAATGGCCAGCTTAGGCTTTTCTAATTGTTATTGCCAAAGACAATAGGCGTCCAATTTACCTACAACGGACGCCTATTGTTGGCCGAAAATTCCAAACAACTGAACAGGCACTTCGACCCGAAATGTGCTCATCTGGGTGCTATTTACAGTATTATTTTAAAAATGTCACCACTGTTTTAATCTCTTTTTAAAGTCACAATAGCAATTAACGGTAAAGGTACCAAAAATGAGTATAGAATATGGGAATAATCTTGAAAGTTTAATTGACTCTTAGTGAAAGTTATAAGAGCATCATTATCAGAGATTTTTTTCTATTTTTTTAAAATAGTGTGTGGTAATGTGGAGGAAAGAGAAGTGGAGGGAGAGAAGATTAGGGAGTCTCTGCAAGTCATGGTTTTTGAAACACTGATGGCCTTAGAAAAAATAAAAAATAAATAAAAAAAAGCCACGTTGTGGACGTTTTGCACGCAGACTATCTGACAGTGCATTTAATATTATTTTTAAAAAAAAATTCAATTCAATTTTGTATTATTATTATTATTATTTTTTTCTGTTTTCTCTCTTTTCTCATATTCTCTTTCCTAATCACACTTATAAAAACTCTTTAAAAATCGCAAAAAATTCTACCATTGTGAATGCTCTAATGAATGTTATGTCAATATGTCATGGACCCGGGTCCACCTTATAGATTTTGCAAGGTGGACCCAGGTTCAAAACAATCGTTATATCGTGCATCAGGGCGCATAATGCATTGTGCGCTCTGGCCAAAACGATGTCATTTTACTTAACAAGTCTGTTATAATTTTTTTTTTTTTTTACACTCGTGATTATGTGTATTATGTTAAGAGTTTCTGTGTATTTTGTTAATAGTTTCTGTGTATTATGTTAAGAGTTTGTGTGTATTATGTATTATGTTAGATTATGTGTATTATGTTAGGAGTTCATGTGTATTCTACTATACAATTCTGTACCTTCGAAACAGAGTTTTTTTTTTTTTTTTTTTTTTTTTTTTTTTTTTTTTTTTTTTTTTTTTTTAGAAGTTAACGGCAGAAACGGGAAACAGAGTTTCAAAAAAAAAAAAAACAAAAACAAAATAGATACAAAAGGACGTCGTTTTGGGTCAGGGCGCGCAATGCATTGTGCACCCTGGTGCACGATATAATTTGCCAGTTCAAAACGATGTAGTTTGCGTGTGTGAAAATAATGGTGCTGTTAGTACGTGGCATCGTTTCCTCAGTCCACAATTTGTTTTTTTTTTTTTAAATAATTATTGAAACCAACTCATCGAGTGAATATTCAGTTCTGTAACTGTGAATATAGAGTTCTTTAATTGTGAATATAGAGTTATGAAATTTTAAATATAGAATTATGAAATTGTGAATATAGAGTTCTGTAATTATAAATATAGAGTTAAAAAATTATAAATATAGAGTTCAAAATTTGTGAATATAGAGTTCTGTAATTATGAATATTGAGTTATGTAATTTTGTATATTGAGATCTAAAATTGTGAATATTCAGTTCTAAAATTGTGAATATAGAGTTCTAAAATTGTGAATATAAAGTTCAAAAATTGGGAATATAAAGGAACGAATTCTGAAGACAAACAGCAAGAAATGAAGCATTTTTTTTTTATAATTCAAACGACGTCGTTTTGAAGAAAAACGACACTGTTTTGGACCGGGTCCACAACATAATTTCCCAAGTTATACTGATTTCTTCATATATAAAAATGAATGATATAAAGTAATGCAACCCAAACTACTAAAAAACCATTAAGAGTACTAGTTGGGCCAATCGCAAGGTCTAAGTCCAAACAATTAAGATAACTCTTTATTAGTTGGCAATTTATCGTGAATATTATGAATAAAAATAATGTACATTTTGTGTTAAAATAATGTACATTGCGTGTTATAATTAATAATGTACATTATGTGTTAAAATAATGTACATTACGTGTTAGAACAATGAAACATCTGGGGTAATATAATGTAAATTATGTTTTAAAATAGTGTACAATTTGCTTTAGAATAATGTACATTATGTTTTAGAATATTGTACGTTATGCGTTATAAAAATGTATATTGCAGCTGAGCGCACGAAAAACTAAAGTTAAGCAAAACTATATCATTTTTGGACCGTGGTCCACGCTATAATTGGTTATGTTCAATGATGACGGAAGTTCAATTCAAGCTAAGAATCATGCTCAACATTTATAACAATTTCAAGGATGATTCAAACATCAAACTAATAGATAAGTCATGCTTTTGTTAGTAAAATAATTTTGTACACGAAGCACGTAACACATCGCATTTTAGAATAAGCCCACGAGTCCCAAGAGCCGTGAAGACCCGCAAAACACAAGTGGCCAGACCCGCGGCAGAATACTCTGCCGCAGGGGCCCCTTGGCCGCGCGGGCTGGGCGGCGAGACTCGGGAATCCCGCTGTGCAAAACGCACTGGGCACGCGAGCTAGCCGGCCGGCCTCCCAGGACCCGCAACCAGGCCCGCATGCCGTCGAGTGGAGACGAGGTAGCCTCGTCTCTCTGCTCTGCTCCATCCCCGGGCATTTTTTGCCCACTTCCAACCTAATACAACTTCCAAATCATACCACCAAGGCAATAATATCAACATTACAACATTCCATAACACATTCCACTCATCAAATACAAGATTAATATCATTTCCAAAGTCCACACATCAACAACAACAGCAAACATACATTCATTAGGCAAATAAGGGAAAAATAATATATTTTGGATATCCATGGATTATACCTCAAGCTTGATTCTTCAAAAGTTAGAATCCCTCCCTAAGCCTCAAGGATATATGATTGTCTTCTCCACCTCCTAGACCCCCATAACCAACCAAACCAAAGAAATACATACAATGTATCATTCACATGCACATACAATACTATATCTATATATCTTAGCTAAAGGGAAGAAGCGAAGATGATGGAGAGTCTTAGAGAATAGAAGATGAGATGAAGAAACCTTACAATATTGATGTCTTCTAGCTAGCTAACTTCTCAGGAGATAGATAGAATGAAATGAGGAGGGATTGAGAGACAAATGAGTGAATAGTAAGCTTTTATACCTAGGGCACAAAGCCCTAGGTCATTCATCAGGCAAAGACACGACAAAGTGAGGGCATTCTGGGAAATTTGGGTTTTGAACTTTGGGTTATAATTTTGGGTCAAAAGTTGGGTTAATTTCATACTATAATACAATATAGTAAATATAGAAATAAGATAGGTTTATTTTGGAATCAAGTTTTGAATGAAACTTGGCTATGATCTGAGGTTCACAGGTTCATCTCAGATTGACTTTTGGGTAAAAGAATATTTTTCCCAAATTGAGTATCGAAAACTAAGGTATATAAATAGACTCTTGTATTTAATTATTCACTATAAGGCCGGGTTCTTGAATACATATTTTATTTATAAAAGACACTAGTCAAGTTAGGAACAAAATATTGGGAAAAGATTTTGACTAGTTTTTTATAAAATAGGCTTAATTGGGAAGAAAAATTTTGGGTTGTTACACCGCCCCTATGCATGAGTTGATTAAGAAAGACACCATCTTCAAATGGGGGCCTTAACAAGAACAAGCTTTTGCTACCTTGAAAGAGAAACTCACCATCGCTCCAGTTCTAGTTTTGCCTTGTTTTGATAGAACTTTTGAACTAGAATGTGATGCTTCTGGCATTGGAATTGGTGTTGTAATGATGCAGGAAAAACACCCAATTGCCTACTTTAGTGAGAATTTGGGTGGCGCAACACTCAACTATCCCACATATGATAAAGAACTTTATGCCATTATACGAGCATTGGAAACTTGTCAACATTATTTATGGTTTAAAGACTTTATTTTACACACGGATCATGAAGCCTTAAAAGATTTGAAAGGCCAAGGTAAGTTGAATAAGAGAGATGCTAATGGCTTGAGTTCATTGAAGTTTTTTCCTTATAAAATTGCTTACAAGAAAGGTACGAAAAACAAAGTGGTTGATGCTTTATCTAGGAGATATTCTTTACTTGCTACTTCACATGCTAAGTTTCTTGGTTTTGATTTCATTAAGTCTCTCTATGGTAGTGATACAGTGTTTGGCGAGATCTATACCTCTTGTGTACAATCTCCTTTTAGAAGGTTTTACTTGTCGGATGGGTTTTTATTTAAGGAAAATAGAGTGTGCATACCTAATTGTTCCTTGCATGTGAGTTTGATCTCTGAATCACATGGAGGTGGTCTTATGGGACACTTCGGTATTTCTAAAACTTATGATGTATTGCATGAACACTTCTATTGGCTTAGAATGAAAACGGATGTTGAGACTTTTGTGAATAAGTGTACTACTTGTCATCATGCTAAGTCTAAATCCCTTCTCCAGGGGCTTTACACACCACTCTATGTTCCTAGCCGCCTGTGACTTGATATTTCGATGGATTTTGTTCTAGGGTTACCTATGAGGTTTAAGAAAAAAGATTCCATTTTTGCTGTAGCTGATCGTTATAGTAAGATGGCCAGATGTATTGCTTGCACTTAAACTGATGATGCAACTCATATTGCTAATCTTTTCTTTGATGAGATTGTTAAACTGCATGGCCTCCCTAAGACTATTGTTTCTGATAGAGATACTAAGTTTCTTAGTCACTTTTGGCATGTTCTGTGGGCTAAAATTGAGACTAAGTTGCTATTTTCTACTACTTTTCATCCTCAAACAGATGGACAAACAGATGGACAAACAGAAGTAGTTAATAGAACCTTATCTTAAATGCTTAGAAGTGTGATCTCTAAAAATATGAAATCATGGGAAGAATGTTTGCCTCATGTTGAGTTTTCTTATAATCGTGCAATACATTCAACCACTAAATGTCTCCTTTTGAAGTTGTCTATGG